TTTAGCATCTGAGTTTCCAGCGTATGAGAATCTTCCGACATCATTTGCGTCGGAGAGGAGTTAGACATTCACTCATATACATCGCGTCGGAGAGGTAGTCGGATGAGAGAGCAGAACGATTCAGAATTTGGTTTGGGTCTGAGAGGAAAAAAAGGGAGGAAGAAGAGAGGGGGAAAAAAATGCCAAACAACATCATTTTGGCACCTCAAGCAATTACAGCCCGCTCATTTTCGAGTTACTTAGCAAAGTTGAATAAAATAGTATAAATAAATAGATATATGTAAATATTATATTAGACAGTGAGAGAGAAAGAAAGAGTGAGATGCCTGCTGCAACTGCACGAACAACATTATCCTTCGAATCCCTGACGTGGAGGTCCAACCTGGTTTTGAAATAAGGATGTGAAGAATAGAGATCTGAGAGGGCCATGGAGATACACTTCGAACCCATCTTACCAACCCAAGTGTTCATGTCAAGAACCACTCCTACCTTCACTTGGACTGTTGTTGTGTTATGTGCCATGGCCATTCCTCTCTAGGAAATTATTATAATAACAACTATAAAGAAAAAGAAGAGAGAGAAAACAAGTTGAATGGTTTTTCTCATCACCTTGCAACCCTCAAGACAACTTTAGAACCTAAATCCAAACTATAGCATACATTTGTACCTCTGTGATATATGGGGGACAAGTCAAAAAAAATAGTATATGATTTTATACGGGTGTGTTTGGTAACGTTTACGTATTCAGCTTATATTTACAAAAAATTTATAATCTGATTTTTGTTTATTTTTTGTTTATTTTTAGAAAAACATAAACTACAAACGCGTTTAGTAATTGACAAAATGTTTAAAAAAATTTAAAAATATAAAAAAGAGTGAGAAATGGCAAGTGGTGGCACGTGGCGGCGAAAGACGGTAGTGGAAAGTGGTGACGGTGGGTGGTGGCAGGTGAGTGGTGGTGGCGAGTAGATAGCGGGTGGTGGTGGTGGTGGTGGTGGTGGTGGCGGGTGGTGGGTGGTAGTGGCAGGTGAGTGGCAAGTGGGTAGTGGGTGATGGTGGTGGTGGTGGTGGTGGTGGGTGGTGGGTGGTGGTGGCGAGTGGGTGGCAGGTGGCTGGTAGTAGTGGTGGTGATGGGTGGCTGGTGGTGGCAGGTGGGGAATGGTGGTGGTGAGTGGTGACGGGTAGTGTTACGGGTGCGCGTAGTGGTACAGGTGTGGTGGCAGTGGGTGGCGGGTGGGTATGGGTTGATGGTGGTGGTGGTGGTGGTGAGTGGATGGGTGACGGTGGCGGGTGGTAGGTGGTAGCGAGTGATGGGTGGTGGGTGGTGGTGGCAGCTGGGGTGGCGAGTGGGTGGTGGGTGGGCACGGTGGGTGGGTGGCAGGTGGCTGGTGATGGTGGGGTGGCTTGGTGGTGAATGTGGGTGGCTGTGGGTAGTGAGGTGGTGGCAAGTAGGTGACGAGTGGTGGTGGCGGGCGGTGGATGGTAGTGGCGTTGCGGGTGATGGTGGGTGTGGTGGTGGTGGTGGCGAGAGGTGGGTGGTGGTGGCAGGGTGGGTGGTGTGGCAGGTGGGTGGTGAGTGGCATGGCTGGTGGTGGTGGCAGGTGGTTAGTGGCGGTGGCAGTGGTGAGTGGTGTGTGGAGTGTGGTGGGTGGTGGTTGGCGAAGAGGTGGTTGGAGAAATGTGGCGGGTGATGAGTGGTAAAAAAAAAAAAAAATGAAAACTCAAAATGGAAACACATTTTTTGTGTTTTTATTTTTTAGCCAAATTTATAAACTGAGACCACTGATTTATAAATAAAAAATTTTATCAAACAAGTTTTTATTTGAGGTTTTTTAATTTTTGTAAATATAAATAGAAAACTGAAAACGTAAGTGCTACCAAACGGCACCTACATAATTATTAAATCAATGTGAAAAACATATAAAGCAAACACAGAATAAGATATAAATATTGATTAATGATTGAGGCCTCAAATTTTTTGGCTCAAATTTGGCTCGAATTTTCTTTTTTTTTTTTTGTTTTTTTTGCTGGGTTGATGCTTTGCTTGTTATTATTATTATTATTTTTATTTATTTTTCAATGTATTAGCCCAGAAGAAAAAAAAAAAAAATGCATTCGAGGCAATTTCGAGCCTCATTTTCGAGGCCTCAATCACAGCCGATAAATATTATACAAAGAGTAGGTTTCTCATGTGAATTTATATCATGTCAGCCCTAATTATTGATAATTTATGTTTTCATTATTTGTGGAGTTAGTCTTATTGTTATTATTACATGGCGGGGATAATGCCACGATTGGAAAGATTAGATCCAAGCAATTTTCTTTTAAATGACATATTTACCCTTCGACAAATTAAAGGAATCTTCTTCAGTTTTTATTTTTTTTTTTAACAGAAACATAATCTTCAGTTTGGTATTACTTCACTTTTTCTTGTATTTCCAGGCCATGCAATTTCTAGTTTTTGAAAAAGTTCGGTAAAAATCAACTGTGATCTCGAGCATAAAGACTTCATTTTTGTGTCAAAAGTTTAATTATCAGAAAATAAGTTCAATCAACTTTATACATCAAATTAACACCTGGTATGTTTTGTGTTTCAGATTGTCTCGACTTTGATGTTTGAACCATATTCAATTTGAATTCCTTTTTTTTTCTATTTATTATGATTTTTTCACAATACACAGTAAGATAGGTTATCAAAGTACAAAAACAAATCAGGGATGGACCTATGAAGGGGTTGAACATGTGTATTAATAAAAAAATTTAAAACAAAATATAGATTACAATATCAATTTCTACCAACATCAAAAATTAAAAGGTAACATTAAAAAATATATAAATAAAAATTGGGTAAATTATAACCATAGTCCTTTAAGTTTGACACATATTTCATTTTAGTCTCAATTCTAATTGTGCCAATTAAATCCATTAAGATTCAATCCCAAATCAATTTAGTTATTTTAGGAAGTATAGAAATAGATAATTATAAGCCCAACAGTTCTATTAATTACTATAAGGCCCTATTTCCCTATTAGTATAATTATAAAATCTCTGTAAAATTGCGTGTGTTTATTAGAATTGGCACCAGAAACTGATTTCTTGGCTTTATCAATATAAAAAGTCTAATAAGATAATTTAAACAATAACCCTTCACTATTTTCTTAATCCAGGCGAATGACCAGAGAGACAAAAGCCGCTCACTATTTTCTTAATCTCACTCCTAAGGTCACGTTTGTTTGGCAGATTAGGTTGTAGGGGATTGTTAGTGAAGGGGTAGTTAGTGAAGAGATTGTTAATGTGGGATTGTTAGTGAGGGAATTAAGTAAAAGTGTATTTGTTTTTATAGTAGTGTGAGAGATGGTTAGTAATGGGATTGTTAAATTATTATTAAATAAAATAAATTAAAAAATTATTTATATATTAAAAAAATTAAAATAAATATTAAAACAAAATGTGCACTTGGGATTATTTATAAATAAATAAATAAATAAAAAAGTTGGCCAGCCGAATGCCTTTTTGGCCGGCCGTCTGTGTTTGTTAAAAAAAAAATTTGTACTGTACTGGACGTTCGGATGGACATTTGGGCGGACAACCGGAGAGTCTAAAGCCGCTCAATTTTCTTAATCTCACTTGTTTCTCAGTCAAGGTAATCCCCCTACTAAGCCGCCTAGACTATGAAGCCGACCTTCCCAAACAACATCAAATATGCTGTGAGCAGTGGCGGAGGGAAGTGAGGACCAGGGGGGGTCACATGCCCCTCCTGGATTTTGGGTTTTCTTTCTTCTTTTTTTTTTTGCAAATATAAAGAAAATATTTTAAATAAAAAAATTACAAAAATATTATTAGAGTGAAATGTCAGTGACATTTTAAAAATTATGAGAACAATAATGGTTATTTTGATTGAAAATAAAGAAACTATTATAAACCATATTTTATCTATGAAATTTTTTTAATGTAACGGTAATGTCATTATTTTTGACATGCAAGTCTAAGTAATCTTACTATAAAGATATGAAATTAATTAAATTGTTAGTTACATTTGACATGTGAGGTTCACTCTTTATGTGTTTATTTACTATTAGTTAGTGATATCACATATTAATGATGACGTGGTATTACCATTATATTGAATTTTTAATCAAATTTTGTATAAAAAAAATAATTTATCATTATATAATTTATTTTAAGACTTATATCTATATTTTTTTTTATATTGCCCATGATACACTAGTTATAAATAATATTATTTTTTTGATGTTTTTCGAAATCAATTATAAAAACTTACGTGAAATATTTTTGTAAAAATTTTTGATATTGTAATTAATAAGTGCCCCTTCTAATTTGATTTTCTGACTCCGCCACTGGCTGTGAATAGGATCCACAGCAATCCTACTCCAGTCCGGCTATTGAAGCGGCCAAGCAAACGGGCCTAAATATGATCCATGGTAATGGTGGTCCATCATTTTATTTCATTTTTAATAAGTGGGTGTCTTGGTTAACTTGTGTACATTCCAACTAATTTTAAAATATTAAAATTACTAACTGAACAAACTTTTAATAAATTTTTAAGATAACTTAAACTTCAGATCTTAAATTTTAATCTTAAGCCTTTACCATTTGACTAAACCTTTGAAGTTTATTGCGTCCATCGTATCATACCTTGCAAATCCCTCTGAAGTTTATAGCGTCCATCATATCATCCCATGCAAATAACTTGGTGATTTGACAATATTAGTGTGGTGATAGAAATAATTTTTTAGTTGTAAGAAAATTAAATATAATAAATTAAAAAACTTTTGAGAGAGCACTATGATCCTCTTTTAGAGAAAAGTGTTGAAGTTACTTCTTTTATTCTTCACTTGGATTGATCCAAATGCCTCCAATCATTTTGTCTTTTTTTTTTTGCTTCTTCTTCTTCTTTCCATTGGGGAGGGTGTGAAAGCCTTGACATATTTTTCCTCAAGTTTTTAATTTATTAAACATAAAATACATTAATCATTAAGTTATTCATTGTTTAATCGATAATATTTTTCAATATAATTTTTTTGGAAGTCATTTATTACACTTTTATTTGAAATTTACACACAAAAATGTTTCATTATTTTGAAAGTCATCATGTGATAAATGATGATTGGTTTCTTAATAATGTCTCTTAATCTATAATGGTGTTTGCCTCACTGAATTTGGATTGTGAGAATCCACAACAGCCATCGGAGTTTCTTGTCCTTCGAAATGAATGAAAGTCTCATCGGTGTCATATGAAACAATTGATTGAGCGGGAGAGCATTGAGTAGGCAATGATGGAGCGATTGACAAGGCTGATGATGATGGACTTGTTTGATCTTGGTGGGTATCAGTGACAGATTCTTCATGTTTGAGAATGTACTTTCTCCACAAAGCTTTGAGATCCAAGTGCACCAAGAAAACCCTATGCTCATAAGCTAACATAGCCATAAATATAATGAGAGCAAAAGAAGAAGCAACTCCAACTATGAGAAATAGCCCCCAAAAGCTTCCAACACTTAGACTAGTAGAAGACACCATACTGCTAGAGTCTGGACAACTATTATTTGGCCCAAACCAAGTCTTTTCTATTTCAGACATTTTTTCTTCTTCAATCACATTCAAGATTGCAGCTGATACATCACGCGCTAAATAGGAACCTTTTGGAAACACCTAGTAAAATAATCAGTGAGGGTATCAGAAAGCTGGGTAACACAAGTTATATGTACATGAAACCTAGGTCTTAAATAGATGAATCATTGGCATATATGGAGAGTATCGAGCCTAATATATCGGGTGGTGCAGTCGGTGAGTTTTCTTTTTCTACTTCGCACCCGCAAGGAATCAACAAGAAAAATGCTTGAGAGCTCTAGGAAATGAGCTCTAAACAATGCACTAATGACATGGAAGTATGTGGGGTCCAATTTGATGTGATGCTTTAGCTTGAATTTTTTTTTTTTTTTTTTTTTTTTTGGAACTGCCAGCTCAGTAGAGCTCTATAGCATTGTTGAATCAACAATAGTGAAATTATATCGATCGGCCAATATATCAGATTAGTGGTTGATCCCAAATACCTTTTGCAACAAAAAAAAAAATTAATTTTTGGCTACAACGATTTAACACATGCCAAAAATACTATTTTGTAATATTGACTGAAATGTATCAGATTTTTTGTCATTCCAATACTGATACTATACAAAGAAAGCGGATAATTTGGGACCTATAAAGTTATTTTCTCAATACTATTTTGTTGCAACCGATATTAATATGTCTTCCCATACCACTATTTAAATACCACTATATAAAACCATGATAGTAACCAAATCAGTTGTATCAACTATAAATTGGTCCTATTGGTTGTGAATCATAGGTCTTAATCTTAAATAATGGTATTGGCGAAACCAATATATGAGACAACTACCCATATTTAAAAATCATGCACAAGAGAAAGAGAGAGAGAGAGTACAAAGCCAAAGCCGCCAGTCTTATGGGGAGGTGCAACCATGGTGTATTTTGAGCAGTGTCTTCCAATAAAGTGTTTCAAGTAAGGAATTTCATCGAAAGCAGCAACGATACTCCCATTCGAAAAAGCAACATCCAAGTCTCCTTCTACAGTATTATAGCCCTTAAGTTGAGAATCACTGAAGTTCATTCGTTTCAAGAGTTCATAAGTAAATGAGATTTTTGGGTAACCAACTGATTCCCCTTTATTTATAAGCTCTCTCATATCAGTAATTGATGGCTCTAGTTGATGAACTGTCAACATTGAAGTTAAGCTAGCTGTGTAACTTTGAGTTAAAATTAGGACCACGAAACACCAAATGATCACCACAAACCTCGCCAAGTTGCTTACTACTTTCTCCTCTGTAATAATATAACATTAATAGTCTTATTTAGTTTAGGATAAATAGAAAATCTAACAAATATTTAACATTACTACTAGTAAAATGGATTTGGGTACTTAATTTTTGGAATCACCTTGACTTAGACTATCCAATTGGACAATAAGTTCATTTTGTTAGATCTTTATGTAATAATAATTATTTTATTTTTTTTAATCTTATTTTTTCATATATGACGTACATACAAAACTTACAAAATGAACAGATCAAAATAATGTAGAAGGGCTAGGGGTGAGTCCATGGACCCAATTGGACCGTCTTGGTGAACTCTGAGACAAACTGTTCCATAATTTTTGTAGATATTATTATTATTATTATTAAAGAATGATTCATTAATAGTATGTAAAAATGCAGGGGAAGAAGAAGGAAGAGTTAAGAGAGAAATACTTTGAGAGAAAATCATGGTAGAGAAAGAGAACCAGACGCTGGTGGTGACTTGATGCAGACGAGGCCCATTGAAATCATCATTAATTTGATGTTCAAGAATCCAAATCACAAAACCAACGAACACAAAGAAACAAGTACTTGTTACCCATAGATCCCAAGTCAGTGGCTTCAAAAAAACCCATGCATTTTTGTAATTCTTGTGTTTGAAAGGCACTATCATTGTCACCCCTGATTCTGTGTATGGAAGTGTAAAGTCCACGTACTTGGACCTATCAGCTCTAATTGTAACATCTCCAACCACAGCATCAAATTTCTGTTCATCAAACAAAATTGGTTGCACTTATCGTAACCATGTAACAGTGATATATTTATAAATTATAATCACAATAATAAGTTATGTTTAAAATAAAATAACCACCATAAGTCATATTTTTGGAATCTCTAAATGTAATTCAAAAATGTTATTGAACACTCTACATTTGATAAAAATAAAATTTAACATCATTATATCCCTAAATCAAATTATTAAAAACGACAAAAACCTAATTCCATCTTCTCTCCTTACACTGCTGCCACCATCACCTCTAACAACCACCCCAGACTCTCATCACCTCTATCCTCCACTGGCTCGGTTCTCTCCCCAGCTCCTTCTGCTACCACAATCCCTCCCTCTTCTGCTCGCAACTTCCACCCTCACCCTGTCGCAGTCACTACCCACTACCCTCTTCCTCACATTGGCCCCTTTCTCATCCACCACTCTCAGCCTTATGCCACCTCTGCCCATCCCATTCAAAACCCAACCACCATTGCCTCTATCATCTCTATATAAAAAACTTGTGTTCAACTCTATAAAAAGAATATATAATAATAATAATAATGGAATAGTTTATAAATTCTTGTGGGTATTAAAAAAATTAAATAATAATAATAATAATTGAAATAGTTTATAAATTATTGTGGGAGAGAGAGTTTAACCTACCCCAAGGAAAACTTGGTAGACCATGTTGTCATAATAAGAACCAGCTTTCCCTCCAGGAGCCCTTTCAAAGGGAATATACTCGTACCGAACCGCATATGGAAGCGCCGCCGTTGTAGCATCGAAGACGTCTATGCAATACCCAGTGACCTTCGTCGTATTAGTGATAGCATCTTTTGTCACCATCACAAAATCACTGTAACCATTCTTCACTGGAACTCCTACTCTCAACACCTTTCCATTTGTTGGCACCACCCATCCCTTTGGAGCATGTGTTGTATCACCTAATTTATTTTTTATTTTTTATTTTTTTATCAATAAAAAAATATATATTAATGAAAAATAAAATGGAAATTTCCAAAATAATGTACTTTAAAATGTGCGGAAGAGTAATTAAAATGAAGCAAAAAGTATATGAACAAAGCACAATATATGATTAGTCCAAAATAATGTACTAATATTTAAAAAATATATTGACTACATCTAAAATTATAAAATATTACCATTTTGCACCAATCAAAAATTATTTTGTGAACAAAATCAAACCCCATTATAATTGAGTGGATAGTGTAGTCGAAACAATTGTAAGCGTACCCAGGCTCACTTCAGTAACTATTCATATTGAAGTAAATGATTATTTTTAGAAAATTAGGTAGTCATATATTTAAATCATATTTTTTACCTTTCATTTTTATTTTATTTTTATAACACAAATGGGAAAAACTCACCTGGCCATATGATAGCTTTAAGGTTGGCCTTCGATGTCAAATAATTGTACGTGGTATTCACGACCTCAAATTTGAATTCTCTCACAATTCCATGTTCTGGCATCCAAAACCCAATCACTCGTGGCCCATTTCCGATCACATTCACAATCTCAAAAGCAGACGATTGTAGTTGCCCATTGACAAAACTGAAATTTCCGCTGAGTCCTCTAAATCTAACGCTTGAAAGAGCCTGGCAAAGATAAATACCTGTTTCAGAGACTCCGACATTATCAAAATGGGCTGAATTTCTAGGAAGGTTCAAAATACTCAAATTCAGCGCACCAACTTTCTCAACGGCCATTGCCAGCGATATGGCAGCGTCATATGCCCACAACCCAAAAACATTTAAATCACTATTCATCAATTTATTTTTCCACTTGCTAATAAAATCTTCATGCTTTTTACTTCTTGGAACATGTGGTTTTACACCAATCACCCCTTGCATCGAATCTATGATGACCGAATGGTTGAAAAAATTCAACGAATTGGTGATCCCATCAGTTATGATCCAGACATACCCTTCACTCATCATCCCAATCTCATTTGCTTTGGTAAATAAGCGATCACTAAGAGAGCGAGTCATGTGTACGACAAAAACGTGGGTTTGCATAGTCATGAGCTTGTAAAGTTCTGCAACGATTTCTTCATCATTGGCAGAGGGATGAATTGTGCTTTTGTATGGAACGCGAATTTCAATTTCTTGAAATGCATTGGTCAAAAATGGAATCAACCCTTCTCCATACTCATTTTCTATGTAAATGGGTACAACTTCTTTCCATCCAAAGGCTTGAATTATAGAAGTTATGGGTTGTACTTGAGATGAGTCATTTAGAGCAGCTCGGAAAAAATATGGACTCCGAAGAGAAGAGAGGGAAGGACTTGTTGCAGAGAAAGAAAGAATGGGGACATGAGCTTCTTCTCCAAGATGAATTAGAAAATTTGCTTGCATGGATGTCAATGGCCCAATGATGGCTTGCACTTTCTCAGTTTTCAGTAGGTCCAGAGCTGCATTTTACAAGAACAAAATATTTTCCCAAACATTGCTATTTACAAATTAATAATAAATTTTACCAATATTTCTTATTAAGTGATATGTGATGCATTATAAAATTTTAAAACTTGAAATAGAAACCACTTGAATGATCAAGAAAAATTTAGGGAGAATTGCGAAAAAAAAAATGGTATCAACACAAAATAATTGCAATGTTATGGAAGTACAAATAATTTATGTATTAAATTATACAATTGTCCCAAAAATTTATTAATTTATATAGTATTAATAAAGTAAAAATAGTGAATCATCTAAAAATAATAATAAACAGGACTACTAACGTATAAATGTTCTTTGATGCTATATATAGTGGTGGAGCCACATGGAGCTTAGAGAGGTCACGTGCCCTCTAGATTTTTGATTTTGAACTTTTTTTTTTTTTTTAACATTTGTATATAAAAAAAATTTAAACAAAAATAATATTTAGAATAAAATGTCAAGGGTATTTTTAAATTTATAAAAACAATAGTGATTGTTTTATTGAAAATGAAGTGACTACAACAAATTATATTTTTATGTATTAAAATTTTATGAAAAAATCTCAATATAAAGGTAACATCCATCATTATTGATATGCAAATATAATTAATCTCACTATATATATGTAAAAATTACTAGAGTGTTAGTTATATTTGTATGTAGAGTTCATCCCTCATATGTTGCTTTATAATTGGTTGGTGATATCATATGTCAATAATGAAGTGATATCACTATTATATGAAATTTTTACTCAAATTTTGTAAAAATTTGATTTATCTTACCATTATATAATTTATTTTAAAACTTAAATATATAACTGTTTTTACATTATCCATGATACACTAGTTACACACAATATTTTTTTTTTATTTTACTCGAAATTAATTGTAAAATTTTATGTGAAATACTTTAATAATAATTTATTTAAGTTTTTGTACTTAATATTAATTCAAAAATTATTATTATCTTTTTATTGTTGGTTATGAAAAAAAGAATTAAAGTTGTAATCAAGAAGTGTCCTTATAATTTAATTTCTTGACTCCTTCACTGGCTATATATATACGCAAGCAATAGTAGTTAGAATAGTGATTTAACATATATTTGTGCTGATCGTATGACCTCTAAAGTCACGTCTCTCTAATCATGAACTTGATTTCTTTGGTCAATTTTTTTTTTTTAAATAAAAATTACTTAATTAAAACGACCTTGACTTAAAATCCTTCACAACCAATGTGTAATAAAATTTTGTTGAGGAATCTTGCAAAAGACAAATAATAAAGATTTACGCAAATGACAGTTGAAATTTGAGGCCCAAGCAAATTTAGGCTTCCTTCGGAAGGTTGGGTTAGTTTTTTGACTTTTGGACTTTTATTATTTTAGTTTAAGATAAAAAGTTTTGATTTTTGTGAGAAAAAAAGTGATAAACACCACTAAAAATAACAAAAATCCATGTTGATTCTGATGAAGATCATGATGATAATCATCAACAACACCACTCTACTTCCCTTCAAAATCTTCTTTTTTCAACCTCTTGTTAGACCCAAAATCAAAATAGAGTTAGAGATGTGCAAGAAAACAACCAAGTACTGATTTGAGTTTGTGTATTTTGATAATTTTTTTTTTTAAAAAAAAAAAAAGAATTTGTTCAAAAAGTAAAACAATAAAAAATAAAATTTTCAAAATAAAAAATTAGGGATGAAATTTATCTTATACCAAGATTCTAAGTAATAGATGATGGTGGTGGTGAATCTGAGAGTGCCTTAGTCAAAACCCTAATTTGTTTCTCACCCTTGGTAAAAAAAATCATATTTTGTTTGAATTTTGAAATGAAGATAAAAAGTAAGAGAAATAGAGAATTTGTGAAAGAGAAGAACAAAAGTTCCCAACTTTTTCACCGTGATCAACTTGGAAGGAAAAGTGTTGCCTTATGATATATATATTATTCAATGGATTGCTGGGATTAAAACACATGGATGGCTAAGATGGAGTCTTATTCGGTGCAGTTTGGTTCGGTGCGGTGTAAAATTCATATAAACCAAACCGAAAATCGAAAAAATGAAAAAATTCTACCAACCGACCAAAATACAAAAAATAAACAGACCGTTAACCAACAGTTCTGTTCGATACGGTCGGTCGGTTTGGTTTCTATGATTATTCTTTCACCCTTACTAAGGTCTAGTATCATTTTTTTTTTGTGAGAAAAAATAAAATTTTTATAAAAAAAAAATAGAAAAAAGTTTTAAAAAATGTTCAAGTTTTACTCAAGCTCGGGCTCCGGCCCAAAACTTGAATACCTTTGGGTCCGAATTTTAACGGGAACCCGACATGAGCCGAACTAGGTGGCCAAATTTACATCCTAGAGAGAGAAAAAAAGAGGATTTCATTATTTTGTTGTTTAACCAAAGGTTTTAGAAAAAGCTGAATCGCTACTAGGTTTAATAGTAGCTAATTATTGATTATATATATTAGTGATTGATATACGCGATGTGTAAGTTAAATAAATAAAAATAAAATAAAATATTTAATATATATTGATTGTAATTTCAAATGATAATAGTCTTTTCTTTTAAATTTATAATTTTGAATTCAAGTCTCGAGTCATTTTCTTTTTTCTTTTTTTCCTATTTTTTTTAAGAATAATTGAACACTTGATATAAAGAGAGATAAAATTTTAAAAAATTAATTTAAGTGTTCACATATAAAATAATATAAATAAATAGATATATGTAAATATTATATTAGAGAGAGAGAAAGAGAGATACCTGCTGCAGCCGCACCAACAACATTATTCTTGGAATCCCTGACGTGGAGGTCCAGCCTGGTTTTCAAATGAGGATGAGAGGAATAGATATCTGAGAGGGCCATGGAGATACACTTCAAACCCATCTTACCAACCCAAGTGTTCATGTCAAGAACCACTCCTACCTTCACTTGGACTGTTGTTGTGTTTGGTGCCATGGCCATTCCTCTCCTGGAAATAATTGTAATAATCACTATGAAGAAAAAGAAGAGAGAGAAAGCAAGTTGAATGGTTTTTCCTATCATCTTGCAACCCGCAAGACAACTTTAGAACCTAAATCCAAACTAAACCATATATTTATACCTCCGTGATATATGGGGGACAAGTCAAAAAAAAATAAAAATAAAATAATAATAATAATAATAATAATAATAGTATATGATTTTATACATAATTATTAAATTAATATTAAAAACCCATAAAATAAACATAGAATGAGATATAAATGTCATATGAAGAATAGGTTTCTTATGTGAATCCATATCATGTCAGCCCCAATCATTGATAAGAGTTGGGCTGCTTGCTGTACAGCAGCCACTGTTGTACGATTTTATGGGTTTATTTTGGAGTTGTTTTTGATAATCCGAATTGTTCATATTTTAAAGTAGTAGAATATATCTGTAAAAAATTAAGTTAATCGGATATCATTAACCCTTTCATCTACTCACATTTGTATTCATTTTAATAATTTAAATCACAATATCATTTATTTTTGAAGATACAAATGTGATTAGATGAAAGAGTTAACGATATCCGATTAACTTAACTTTTTATAAATATATTTTATTCGATATAATCTAAAATATGAATAAATTAAATTATCAAAACGAATCCCGAAATAAGTTCATAGAACCGCGTAACAATGCCCGCTGTACTAGGCACCCCAAATTCATCATTGATTAAATGTTTTCATTTGTTGTGGAGTTAGACTTATTGTTATTATTACATGGTGGGGATAATGCCAGCATTGGAAAGATTAGATCCACGCAATTTTCTTTTAAATGACATATTTATCCTTTGACAAATTCCTCTGTGAGTCTCTCTCTGCGTTTTCACACTTCAATTCTCTGTGAGTCTCTCTCTCTCTAATTCTAAACCCAAGGGTGGGTGACATTATGGTTACGGCTTGAAATTTAAGCCCCAAGGTCATAAGTTCGATTCCCTTCTCCTTGGGCCAATCTCTTAGGCGAAGCACAGTTGGTTAAGAGGTTGGATCTCAAGTTGTTTAATCAGCACTTGGTCTGGGTTCAATACTCCCCCACTGTGTGAGTCCTGACTTAAGCGGAGCATGTCTTGGAAAGTCGGGACAAGTTTTCAGGTTATAGTCTCATCGCTCAGAACGGCTAACAGGACACATTGGTAATCTTTGCAACGGGCACTGCCTTGAACCTGCAGGAAGGTAGGAAGATTTTCCTGTAACAAAGAAAAAAAAAAAAGAATCTTCTTCCTAAAAAAAAATTTTTTTTTTTTTTTTTTTTTTTTTTTTGTGTACAGAAATCCAATCTTCAGTTTGGTATTACTTCACTATTTCTTGTCTGTCTACAATTTATAGTTTTTGAAAAAGTTTGGTAAAAGTCAACTGCGGTCTCGCGCATACAACCTTCATTTTTGTTTTAAAAGTTTAATTATCAAAAAATAAGTTCAATCAACTTTATATATCAAATTAACAGTCTTCCAACCCTAGGATATTTTGTGTTCCAGATTGTCTCGACTTTGATGTTTGAACCATATTCAATTTGAATTCCCTTTATTTTGTTATGATTTTTCTTACAATACACAGTGAGATATTTTACCAAGGTACAAAAACAGACAAATCAAGAATGGACCTATGAAGGGGGTGAACTTGTATATTAATAAAAAAAAATTAAAACAAAATATAGATTACAATATTAATTTCTACCAATATCACAAATAAAAAAAAAAGTAACATTAAAAAATATATAAATAAAAATTGAGTGAATTATAACCATAGTCCTTCAAGTTTGACACATGTTTCATTTTAGTCTCTATAGTACTAATTGTGCCAATTAAATCTCTGAAGATTCAATTCCAAATCAATTTAATTATTTTAGGAAATATAGAAATAAATAATTGTAAGCCCAAAAATTTTATTAATTACTATAAGACCCTATTTCCCTATTAGTATAATTATAAAATCTCCGTAAAATTGCATATGTTTATTAGAATTAGTACCTGATTTCTCAGTTTTATCAATATAAGAAGTCTAATAAGATAATTTAAACGATAATACTTCACTACAAAAAATAATTGAACAAAATTATACTATAATCAGGTTATTAAAAGAACCTAACAAAAATCTTCAGAAAAATTAACTAAAAATTATACATGAAGTTTGACATCTACTATTAAATAAATGTAAGCAATTAGTTATTGTAAAAAATAAGCAAGAAAACACCACAAATAATTATCTTTATCCTTACCGGGAAAGCTCTTCAAATGAAAATTTTAAATTAATATTACCAGAAAAATGAAAAAATAATGTTTGATAAGATAAATATAAAATAAAATAACATAAAAAGGTACTTTTGTAATATAACAAAATTTAAGAGGCAATAATATAATAACAAAAATCATAGGGTCAATATTGTAAAGCAAAAAGGACCAGGTGATACTGTGCCTATTCTTATTTTCATTTCAGCGTGGCCTGTTGCACTATCATTACATGCAATAAGTGATCTGTTGGAGTATAGATTAAAAAATAAATAATAAAAAAAAAAGGAATAATCTTAACTTCATACACAACTGATGACATGACAGTAGCATTCGCAAAATCAACCTTTATCAACTGCACCATTCTACATTTTATTGCATTTAATCTATTAACTCGAACTAAAAATTTTCCCACCCAGTAAAATTTAGTAAACACAGTTTTGGTATTACCTAACTGTCATTTGAAAAAAAAAAAACAAAAAACAACGACAACAACAAAATCTATGTTGACTTCTGTTGGCTGTAACGAGTATTCCATAGACATTGATGATACCAGGAGGGAAAACAGGGTCAGTTGCTGCTCTGATGGCAACCTTAGCCACAGAAGTAACATGAACAGGTGGTGTAAGCAGAGGACCAACAAGCGGAACCTGATTCAGCGGTTTTGCATATTGAAGAACCTGCATTGGTTGTGTACCGAGGTTAATAACCAAAGATAAACACAAGACGAGTGAAAACTGCCCGTAACTCCCTTGTCATCAAGTGAAGAAGCAATTTGGAATGCAGCAGCGTGAGAGAGAGAAACCGAGACCTCTATTAAAATAAACCAAACTCGACATATTAGAGCAGTAGTCTATCCCAGATGAGTCATTTTACAGAGATTGCAGAAAACAAAATATTATTTAAAGTTTGGCTGCATCTGAGATAAGTAGACCTCCGACTGATGATATGATTATGTTATTAAAATCGCCATTGGCAGTTTAGGTACATAAGGGGAACAAGCATGTTCAAAACAATTAGTCATCTATACAAAGCACAAGAAAATTACCATCTCCAATGGAGAACCGATTACGCCCAGGGGTAACTTCATGCTCCCAACTGGGCATGTTCTATGTATAAATCCAGGCCTCAGAATTACACCTGAAAAAAGTTAGATCTTCTGTCATTCGTAAGTGTTCGATTCTACACTATACTAATTGAAAACACTTCACTAGTTTGAAGGAAATAATTTGAGAGGCTTGTGATTAAAATCAAAGCAATATAGATTTATACCCTATTAATCCCTGCTCATTTAGGTTTTTTAATTTAAAAACTCTAAAGCCTAACCATTTGGGTGATTTAGCTAATTATATATTTAATATTATGAGGGCTGATATATATCATTTCTGTTTTTTCACATCCTATGTGGTATGTGTAGTTTTCAATATGGCGGGTCATATACTTACATGTGGCTTTTATTGTATGAATATACATGGGAAGTGAAATAAATCGGCGATAAATAGCATTTCTCTAACATTACGATTATAAGAGAAAATCACTACACCAAAACACGATTTAGTGCTGAGCTAGTCAAAAGCCACCCAAGAAAACACAGCCAAAATGTTTCCCATAAAAAAACTTTTCCATTGTTTGATTGTGACCTTGAAAATAAGGTGCTAATGGTTGTATTACTTGTGATGGAAGGGTGGTGTAGGTGGTGGTGGTAGTGTGTTAGTATTGATAAGCATTTTCCACCTTTTAAAAGTGAAATATTTTCTGGCCAAATAAATTTGTTTTCTGTGGACTATGGAAAAGCATTTTCTGTTAGCTTCGTTTTCCGTCATACCAAACACTAGAAAATGTTTTAAGCCGAAACAAATGGAATGTCCATTTGATTATTTAATTTGAGAGCTTATAGGCAACCAGCTGTCGTCACTCTTCTCTGCTAAAAATTTAACCCAAGTGCCAGGTATCAGTCAAAAATATATCAGTTACATTATCAGTCAAAAATTTACTAGCTCCATTCATTGGACAATACAACATATAAATAGGGAGGCCAAAAACAAATAAATAAATAAAAATAATAAAAAAAGAGAGAGGGAGAGAGAATAATAGATTTTGGGAATCCTTTGAAAAAGAGAGGGAGAGAGAATAATAGATTTTGGGAATCCTTTTCAAAGAGCAATATTTTGGTAAAAAACTCATCAAGCTACTGTGATGTAGTTGCTAATGTGTCTGCTGAAGGACACATTCTCCCTTGAACGGGCTATGCATATCCTTCTTTTGTCATTTCACAGTAGAGTAATATAATCTTTTTCGAAACACTGTGTGAAGAAAGACCGATGTTTCAAGTTCTTCTACGAAGTTGTACTTATAAATGAAGGTCACAAGATGGTTTTTTCAATCAACATCACCTGCCTCTGATGTTATGGGGAAAAGAAGGATTACTGACTTGGTAATGGCTCGTGTGGTTTATTAGATTATTTGGAAAGATTTAATCAGCTTCTTTAAATTCCCCTAGACAAGTCAGCCTAATTATTCTTGCTGTTTTATAGAATATTACTGCTTATCGTCAAAGTCATCTTTTTTTGGTGCATTAGGAAATAAACATAAATAATTTAATATCCAAATAAACCTCCCTTTTCAGTGTTGTATTTTCATTTCATTCCCTGATGTCATGATATGAACCTTCAGAATCAACAATTAATTTCTAATTGCTAAATGAGCAACCAAAAATGTGCAATTAATTAAATAGTACCTTTCCCTCGTAATACCCTTTTAGCAAGTAATTTACCACGCCAAAGTCAGCAGCAGAGATATAGACAAATCTTTTAACACCTACAAACAAGAATGAAGACATAATTGAGCAACCAGTGTGGAGAGGAAACACA